CTCCTCCCTCCTCCCTTCCCCTCTCTCTCTCTCTCTCTCTCTCTCTCTCTCTCCCCTTCCTCCCTCTACCACGCGCGGAGAATCTCTCCCTCCCTCTCTCTCTCTCTCTCTCTCTCCCCCGCGGAGAATAACGCACTGTCTCTCCCTCTGTCCCTCCCTTTAGCACGCGCGGTGAGCCTCTCTCTCTCTCTCTCGCTCTCGCTCGCCCGAAGAGTCACGTTATTTCTTTCTCTCTCGCGCGCGCGGGCACACGTGGGGAGTGTCACGTTCTCTCCCTCTCTCTGTTCCCCTTTAGCGCGCGGAGAATCCGGCTGTGTGTGTGGGGGGGTGGGGGGGAGGTTCGTCTGCGAGTAAATTGTGTGTGCGTTCGTGTGTGCGCGTGTGGCATCGCAACATCAGAAGGCGACGACTGAATTTATGGGCCAGTTTTACATGTCAACACAGGGCGCGGAGGACCTCCTCGTGGGTCAGTCGGCAGAAAGCAAGAGAACTGTTACAATCTTGACCTTTGCGTATTCCTGAAGGCGCTATAGATTGCCATGTGGTGCTGCGTGAGGAGGGTCAGACGCGTTGGATATTGGCAGACTTTTTCTTTTGACCCCTATGAGTGAGCACAACCTGTCGCAGCAAGAAGGCTGCGCTATACCCGGTTGCACTTTGTCCCGTAGCGGGGAGATCTTTTCAGGAAATGACGACGTAGAGAAGGGCGATTGAAGGGTGCAGAGACCGGTAGGCGGGGCGGTTGCGGTTGGCGTTGGAGGCGGTACGTTGGAGGCGGACGTACCGGGGTAGGCGGCCCGTTTTTGTGGACGGCGGCCAGCTTTCCATTTTGGTCGATATTGGGCAAGGGTGCGATTCGAAGAAAAAAAAGTCGGAGGCCGTGTCGTTTCGAAAGGCTGTGTCACGAGTGTTTCTTCGGAAGGCCGTGGGCACGGTTCCACTAGCACACGAGTCATGGCCTATTTGGACCTGTGCGGCACTGTAAGAAAAGGAAGAAAAGTAATTTTAAAGACTTAAAAAATAGAAAAATGGCGACGGTACATTTCCCAAGATGGGAAGAAGTCGACTTTTGAAAGTGCAGCCGTCCCACTAACCCTCCCCTCTCCACCCTCTGCTCCCCACCCAGCCAATACCTAATCAGGACAGAGTGGTAGGTGACTGTTGCAGTCTCGCATACCACCTCCAGGGAGTCCCTTCGTGTGCCTGATGGGACTCCCTCCTCTGACGGTTGCCATGCTGAAGCGTGCATTTCGTATATTTTGAGAGAATCGAAGTACTG